GGTATTTGGACCCTCTTCAAGCCACTTCTGAAACAGAAGTCGGCTCCTTTGAAGTGTTTGCGACTTGACAGGTTCTCTTTCTTTTCTTTTTCATTTCAACATTCTCCGCCCACTTTCTCTTCTCTCTTCTCCCATCCAATCTTGCCTCCTAATTATCGCTAACCAGGCGACTGATTAGAAACACGTTGCCGACCTAGATTTTCTGGAGCGCTGGAGGAGGAGAAGGGGTTAATCCCAGAGCTGGTGGCTGTCATTGGTCGCTTCCTCCTTCTTTTCCTCTCTTTTGCTCTGCTCTCCTCTTTCTTTCCTTCTTTCCCTGGAAGTTTGCTAATGAGGTCCCGTCAGAGCTGAGGAGAGGTGTTAATTTGGCCTTGTGAAGTAGGAAGGAGATTAAGGACAGTGAGGAGTTGAGTTTACGGCTTAAAATACACCGCTGTCCTTATTAATCCACTGGGCCCTGGGAGACCGGCGTTTTTTGGTTTCATAATGAACGCTGTCTTATAATGAAGGTAATTTTAATAAAAATTTACGGTGGAGAAGATGAAGAAGCTCCTGCAAAAGAAGATGAGATGGTTCACGTCTCCGCAGTCTCAGGCACACCTTTGGGCTTGAGGGAAATGACAGTTATTTCTCAAATAGATCTCTGGAGAGACAGGGCTCTTTATACCACACTGTTCACACAACTTTCAGACACTCCGGCTGCCGTCTGAAGACACACGCATCACATCCTTCACCACGTCTCGCCAAGACTGTGTGGGCTACTCAATGCAATTTACACCTCCCTCTCACTTTAGACTGCAAACTTCCCCCAGGAGCCACCGTTGTGAGGAGGAAAAGGGGAGAAAAAGAACAATGACGGATTTTGTATGTTTTCAGCCTCGTTTGTCTTCCAGTCTGAACATCAGAGTCAAATTAACCAGTCATTCCCTTTAACTTCCTCTCCTCCTGATGCTCTTGATGTGGTGTGGAGCTCTCAGAAAAAGAAAACAACATTATGGCTCCCTAATTACTGAAACTTGCTTTACAATGATAATCCGTGGAGTAATTTAGCGTGCACAGTGCGCAGATGGAGATTCTGATAAATAGTTTGTATCGTGTAATTAGCAGCTCTCCCGGTTACATACCATTAACCCCTCAAGCTCAAGAATCGTTATTGGTCCTCATTATCAAACAGAAAGGTAGGATTGAGCTGAGTAGACATCAGAAACATCAAACAGCTATTAAAGAGGAGCGATCATGGGCCGCTGGACACCTGTTTATGAGACTAACTGTGCCACTGCCTCCCTGGAGGTAGATGTTGGAGGGAGAGGATGTTTTTATGTACGCTGCTGCGGCTGCTGCTTGTTTTCTGAACGAGGTGAGGAGAAACTTTCACTATGCAGTGGTTTTTAACTTCACCGAAGTTAGAAGACAGATCGAAAGGATTGCTGTGCCTCACCTGTGCAGCTGCTTTGAAATTTTGAGGGAAACAAAAAAAAAGTTAAAGATATTTTGATTTAGTAAGCCTTTCTATTTTTTTCATTCCTTTCCCTTAGCAGTTAAAATCATTAATCTGTCTCTGTTGGTTAAAACCAAAACTATTATGGGGTGTCTTTTACAGCCTTGTTCATCCATTATGCATTTTGATTTTCAGTTTTAGTGACTTTCCAGTATTTAATAGTTAAATTTCAAGGCCAAGAGCTTTAACCATCGACATGTATTTTGATTATGTTTTGTCCTTATTTACCTAAAATTACATTTGTGCACTAGAAAGAGCTACATCTTTTTGTAAATACATTCTTTAAAAAGGTCTTTTGAGGTAAGGTGAGAGTTGAAATATGGGAAGATATCCACGTGTTCTTAGAGAAGAGCACCATGTGGTCACACATACTGTAGCAAGATTCAGTAAACTGTCTGCAAAAAAGTTTTAGCATGCTTCATTGCAACAGTCTGAGGAGAGGAGAGGCCCAAAACCCATACCTCGTGTGTAGTAAATTAATGAAAAAATATGAGCAAAATATGAGCAAAAGACAACAGCCATTACATTTGAAAACTTAGGCATTTTTAATATTCAGCAGAATTTATATTGCATATCTTAGTAATTATTCTAACATATTCTGACCTTCAGATTTATTTATGATTACTTTAAAATTAATTATTAGATTAGATTGGAATAATGTTTGAAGACTATGGTTATTCTTGTATTGTGGTTGTTAAAACCTTACCTGCTGCTGCTGCTGCGCGTGTCATCAGACATTTTTAATTGTTTTATCCTGACAATGTGAGAAAGGATAAATTTTTCAATCACACCTCATGTAAAGAAATTGCACTACTTAATCAATTTTAATATTTACCCTGACTATGTCAGGTGGCACCGCTTTGCCAAATATTTGAGGGTGGACCCAATGCCATTTCTTACAAACGGATACAAGTAGCTGATACAGAGCATCAATACCGATGACTTCTTTATGTTAGCGCTCAGTAAATATGCATCTAACTGGAAGGCAGAGGTAAATTGGTTTCACAGCAGTGTGTGTACGAGCTCCACCCAAATCACAGCGAGGACACCAAGCAGGAAAACACTTACAGCCAGTTGTGAAATATCGGCTCGCTGGATCACACACATTTTCAAGTAAGAGTTATTGAATGAAGTATTCGGCTAACTGATTAAAAAAAAAAAAAAACACATAATGACATAGAACAAAACATATGCAAGTTGCTCCGGAGTATAAGTCACAACAAGCCAGCTAGAGTGCCCTCTAGTGACTGTCAGTGTGAAAATAACAAACATGTACATTTTTTAGTGGTACAGGTGTAGCAGGTGCTGGTAAGTCGCCTCGGAGTAAGTCGCAAAATCAGCTAAAGGATGAAAAAAAGTGCAAACTAAAGTCTGAAAAATGCTTTAGTACTTCTTCTTCTCTTAGAGACACTTTTTTGGTGCAAAAAAGCACACGTTATAGAGGTCAAACAGGTGATGGCAACACTGAGGTGACATTCTGTTCCTCGTTGCAGATATGATCTTTGATATTTTCAAATTATCCCCCAAAAGCCCTTAGTGAGACTTACTTTTTTAACCTTTTAAAACGGAATTATCCTGGACCAATCAGTAGTTTTACATTTGACGTGGTGGATTATAAAGTTTCTTGTGAGTATAAAGTGAGTCTAAACATCTAA